TAGTGACACAAGCCTGTCTGCAATCCTGGTACTCTGGGAGGCTGAGTTTAAAGGATTTCTGAGTTCAAGCCCAGCCTGGGCAACTTAGTTAGACTCTGTCTCACAAAAAAACTAACGGGCTAGGGAGGTAGCGTAAAGGCCCTGGGGTCAACAAAGACAGAAGACAGAAAGATAAAAAAAGAAAACAGGTAGAAAGCAAAAAAGGACACAAGCACAGACAGATGAATTTGAAAGGAAAAAAATTACTATAAATAAACCTAAGAACTCTTTAAATTAAAAAAGGTACGATTCTAGCAAAGCTAATACTAAAAAAAAATCAGAAATGAGATAGTTCATAACAGAAATGTAATAAATTATAGGGCAAATTATCTCATAATTAGACATGAAAATAAATTTTAAATTCACCAGTAAATGATTTTCTGTAGTAACTGTGACATCAAAAACACAACAGCCAGGGATTTAGCTTAGTGGTTCTGCTGCCTGCCTCGAAAGCATAAGGTCCTGAGTTCGATCTCCAGTATCAAAAAAAAAAAAAAAAAAAAAAAAAAACAAACAAACAAAAGAAACCCAAAAAACCCCACAATGAACGAGCTAAAACCAAATCAGATCTGAAATAAGATGAACAGAGAATTACCATAAACAAATGTTTCAACCAGTATGATTTACTAATAAGAGTTTTCAAATTTTCAAGAAAAATAAAATTACTACACTTGTAATTCCCTTTATGATACCAAAATAATATGGAAAGCTCTGCAGGTGAATGCCAAGCCAGATTGGCAACCCATTAAAACATGCAAACCCTGGATCAGTAGTTCTCACCCCTGCTACACAAGAGAATGGCCTGCAGAGCTTCAAAGAATCCGGGTTCTGGGCCACACCCATGTACATGCCCACCCCACACAATGAAAGCACAAACTCTCAGGATGAGCTCCAGCAATTTTCAATTTTCTTATGAAATGTTTTTGTTCATAAAATAAAAAAGGGGAAAGAAGGAACAATTACTACTACAGAATTATTTACTATGATTTATAGAAGAAATAGTCTAACTAAAATACAATAAAACAATAATCTGTGACAGTAGTAAGCTATACACAGACAAACACACATACACACACACACACACACACACACACACACACACACACAATCAGCATTTTCATCACAGATGCAAAGATGGCTCCAAATTAGGAAATAGGAGCAAATATGATCTCATACCACATCCTACCACATTCATTTTAAAATGCAAGGGTAATTCTTTAACATGATTACAGAAACACATCCTTTAAAAAACCAAGGCCTAGGGCCAGGGATTTGGCTCAGTGGTGCTGCTGCCTGCCTTGCAAGCTCAAGGTCCCCAGTTCGATCCCCCGTACCAAAGAAAAAACAAAACAAAATAGACTAAATAGCCAACATTATATTTAATTAAAATGCGTGTCTACCATAATCAAGACCAGAACAATAACGCCCACTGCCAGCAAATTGCTTCATATTGTTTCTAGTTCCAGACAATGGGAAAAGATATGACATAAAAATATTACCAAGAAAAACAAAAAATTATCATGGACAGAGAAAATTATGGTGTAGGCAAAAGCTAAAAAACTAAGAATGAATAAAATTCAGAATAACCACAAATGAATCAAAAATATCCTTATGCAATAGCAACAACCAGTTAAAAAATACCATGCAAAGCAAAGTATGTTTCAATGGATTAAAAAATTACAAAGCACTTAAAAGCACTTTTAATTAAAACTCTGTGGGGGCAGTGGATTTAGCTCAGTGGCACTGTGCCTGTCTTGCAAGCACAAGGTCCTATGTTCAGTCCCTACCATCTAAAAAGAAAAAACAAAACAGGGTCATGGATTTAGCTCAGTGGTTCTGGTGCCTGCCTTGCAAGCGCAAGGACCTGAGTTCAATCCCCGGTACCTTAAAAAAGAAAAAAAAAAAAACTCTGTGACCCAGATAAAGCTCAAAATATTTACTAAACAATACAGAAGAACTTGATTAAAAAGATAGAGGCAGTATTTTCTTAATAAGCAGAGAAAAATAACATTTCAAGTGGATTTTTTTCCCCCAGTACCAGGGATAGAACTCAGGACCTGAGCTAAATTCCCGGCCCCCAAGTGGATTTGATTTGATTTGATTTGATTTTGTTTTAGAGATACGATCTCTCTGTGGTTCAGGCTAGTCTTGAACTACGTATAGCCCAGGCTGGCCTCAAACGGGGGATCCTCCTGCCTCAGCTTCTGAACTACTTCGATTAAATGTGTATGCCACCACACCCAGCTCAAGCTTATATTTCTTTGGTTTTAGAGGGACTTAAAGTAAATTTCAAATGATCTGATAAAATGAACAATCAGTATGTGAGGCCTATCTGCTGCTGTTAACCCAAAGATCACCAGGGTTGATATGGCTGGTTTGGCTGGCCAGGCATCACAGGTGTCCCCTTGTTCCTTCACCTCACAATCCATGTACATCCCTCCGTCCACGTGCATCGCTCCGGAAGCTGAGAGCACTAAGCGCTATGTCCAAGAGGACAACCACCCCCATGGGGGAGGACCCTTTCCTTGATCAAAGGTATATGAGTAGCTGCTGCGCTTCCCTGCTAGAACCTCTGAACAAGCTCTCAAAATAAACAATCAGCATATAAAAGATAACTATAAAAACTGAGGCCGGGGATTTGGCTCAGTGGCACTGTGTGTGCCTCGTGAGCACAAGGTCATGAGTTCAATCCCTGGTACCAAAAAAAAAAAAAAACTTGACGCAATAAAAAGAGACTTAGCTCTCCTAGATTTTATACCTTAACACAATGCTTCAATTATTAAAATAACACAACACACCAGAGTAACAAGAGACATACTAATAGGTGAAAAGAACAGATGATCTGGAAAAAGATTATATTAAAGTATATGAATTTAACACATAAGAAAGTAGTAATCACCTATCAATAAGCAAAACAAGAAAAAAGAACTAACTTGGAAAAGCATGACTATGTATATCCCCACCTACAAACCAAAATAAATACCAGATAGATCGGAAGCTTTCATAAAACAAATTAACTTCATTAATGCCCCCCCAAGACATGTCATACCCTTGGGTAGGGATGGTGACATACAAGGGTTTAGAGAGAGAGAGAGAAACTTAAAGGTTTTGTTTTGTTTTTATGGTTTTTTGTTTTGTTTTGTTTTTTGGTAACAGGATCAAACTCGGGACCTTGCACTTGCGAAGGAGGGGCCAGCACCACTGAGCTACATACCCAGCCCTAAAGATTGAGTTTTAAAAAAGCTATAAATTCAATATATACTAAAATATAAACAAAAAGCAAACATACCAATGAAAAAAGAATTTTAGGAAATATGACAAAAATTTTTAAATTTACAAAACCTAAAAGCTGGGTATGGTGTCACTTAATCCCAATATTTTCTGAGCCTGATACAGGATCACAAATTCAAACTCAGCCTGGATATTTAACAAGACCCTGGTTCAAAATTTAACAATTAAAAAATTTTAAAAGGGCTCAGGGCGTGGTAGTTCCATGTGAAGCTCCTAGGATGGATTCATACGTAGTACCAAAGGGGGGAAAAAAACTCACAGAAAAGATATTGTGAAAGAGCATCAACAAAATTCGAACAAAATATTTACTCTAAGAAATTAGTGCAAACTAAAATTACAGTGTGATGAGGCCAGGGATGTAGCTCAGCGGTCCCACACCTGCCCGGGAAGTGCAAGGTCCTGAGTTTGATTCCTGGTACCAGAAAGAAAATTACAATGTGATATGAGGTTTGTTCATATTTCTCCTACTAAGTGGACCCTTCCTCGGAGATGGAGTTAAGGCTTTTTTTTTTCAGTTGCGGGGGGTAGGGTTAAGGTTACCTCAAACTCCTGGGCTCAGGTCATCCTCCTGCCTCAGCCTCACAAGCTGGCTTCCGGTGGAATTTAAATAACTGTAATACTTCTGGGGCAATGTGGTGCTAGGAGGAAGCACTTAAAAATTCTTACGCATCCTCTCAGGCACTCCATTTCTGGGCATGCAGCCCGAAGAAACAAAACAAAGTGGAAAAAAACTTAAATGCGTCAATATCATCATCACCATCATCATCATCACCATCATCATCACCATCATCATCATCATCATCATCATCATCATCATCATCATCATCATTATTAAAATTAGAATGCGGAAACCTAAAGAGTAACAAAACGAGGGTTTGCGGAATCAAGGCACCTCTATGTACTATTAAGATGCCGTTAGTGTGATGGTTGCGGGCAACATGGAATAGTAAGAAAAATACATACTTAGGATCACAGTAACGTCAAGTGTAAATAGCAAAGAACAAACAATAGTTACATATACCACAATTATGTTTTTCAACGTGCATATTTTAGCTTTAAAAACCATGACTATACTTTCTGAAAAGACTGGGCGTGAGGGAAGCCAACCGTACAACATGGCAGCAGCATGGCGGCAGCAATGGCAGCAGCGAGCGTGGGCGGAGACCTGAAGAGGCGCCAGGGACTCGGGAACCGCTGGGTGGCCTCTGCTGGGTGGTCGGCCTGGAGAGGTAGAGTGCCAACCCCGCCACCCCGCGGAGGGCTTCTGGTCTCAGCCGACCCCACATGGGGGGTTGGGAGGGGCTGTCGGAGTCAGCCCAGTCGTTTCTGCTCACCCTTGAGGATCGGGGGCCCTGGGCCAGAAGCCAGCGGGGGGG